GTACTCTTATAGTTTCCAACAAGCCAATCACTTCATTCGTTTTCCTTATACTGGTGTAGTTGAGAAAATTTCTGATATTTTTTTGTTTACTTTGAAAATGTTTATTTGAAAGGGTGTATAGCTCAGTGGTAGAGCATTTTACTGCAGATCAAGAGGTCCCCGGTTCAAATCCGCGTGCCCCCTTTATCCTGTCCCAATCTGAATGTGATCTTTGGTACTGTTATGCTAGTTTCCAACAAGCCAATCACTTCATTCTTTTACCTTATACAAACGAATTTAAGAAAATACCTGGAACTTTTTTAACTTTGAAAAAAGGTCATTGAGAGGGGGTATAGCTCAGTGATAGAGCATTTGACTGCAGATCAAGAGGTCCCCGGTTCAAATCCGAGTGCCCCCTTTATCATGTCCCAATTTGAATGTGATCTTTGGTATTCTTATAGTTTCCAACAAGCCAATAACTTCATTCGTTTTCCTTATACTGGTATAGTTAAGAAAATTCCTGATATTTTTTTGTTTACTTTGAAAAAGTTTATTTGAAAGGGGGTATAGCTCAGTGGTAGAGCATATTACTGCAGATCAAGAGGTCCCCGGTTCAAATCTGAATGTGATCTTTGGTACTGTTAGGGCCGTTACATAGTTAACGCGAGCAAGCGACGCGAGCTACACGCTCCTTTTCATACTACACAAGCAGACGCAAGCGTCACCGGCGATGCGTGAAATGCAATACACCGATCGCGCAACAGGGGGTAGTAGAGTCTAGAGTCTGGTCACGTGATATTCAGATCAAAATGGCAACTGAAGAGGAGTGCATATTGCTGATTTTACATCGGCGGCAATAAAACAAGCTCACATAACTTTTCCTCTTCGCCCGCCATTGTATTCAAATCTTCTTCTTCTGTAAACATAATAATATACCTTTTTATGTACATTACTTGCAATGTCGCCCCCACCGACAATGCATAGTATTGCGTGCATCGGCGCGTCGCGTATCAAAAACTAGGACGACACATTTGGCTACGCATCAACGCATAATGGCGGTCGAAGCGTAGCGATGTGTAGCCTTGCGCACGCGTATGCGTACCGATGCGTTGACTATGTAAGGGCCCTTATGCTAGTTTCCATCAAGCCAATCACTTCATTCTTTTACCTTATACAGACGAATTTAAGAAAATTCCTGGAACTTTTTTAACTTTGAAAAAAGGTCATTGAGAGGGGGTATAGCTCAGTGGTAGAGCATTTGACTGCAGATCAAGAGGTCCCCGGTTCAAATCAGAGTGCCCCCTTTGCGTGTCCAACTCCAAATGTGTTCTTTGGTGCTGATATCCTAGTTCACAAGCAAAAAACTTTGTTCTATTTCTTCTACAGACGAATGTAAGAAAATTACTGGAACTTTTTTAAGTTTGAAAAAAGGTCATTGAAAGAGGTCAAGAGGTCCCCTGTTCAAATCCGAGTGCCCCCTTTATCCTGTCCCAATCTGAATGTGATCTTTGGTACTGTTATGCTAGTTTCCAACAAGCCAATCACTTAATTCTTTTACCTTATACAGACGAATTTAAGAGGGCCCTACCACCTTGGTGATAGCTCGCTGGAACCCGAGGTGTACATATGCCTTGGGCGGGCCAGCAGGCTCGTGCTTGCTAAGGCTGCACATATACTAAAATTGGATCGATACAGAGAAGATTAGCACGGCCCCTGCGAAAAGGAACCTGCCCATTCTTCTCAGTCGAGGAAGGGAGGGCTATGAGGAACATTAATGGAGAAACTGAGGAGGGACCCAACATGCCCCTTCCAAATGTAAACAAGGCATAAGCAAGTAGCCATGTGCTACTGTCCACCTGTAGTATACAAGTGGAATGTGTTGATATGATCAACATAGCACTCTCATCCTGCTTTCTGGACTCAGTGACATTGGAAATGCTCATCAGGAGAGACTAGATCACTGTAGCCCCTTTGACACAGCGCTTTGAACCCGGCAAATTGCCAGAGTGCCTTCTGTGTGAACGCAAACACGACCCGGGACTGATGCCGGGATTGATGCCGGGTTGGGGACCTAGTAACATTGCCGTGTTCAGACCCGGAACGCGTGTTCAGACCCGGAACGCGCGCTGTGTAAACAAAAGCCGTAACCAATGCCGTGTCGTAATGATGACGCTGAAGTGAAGTGAAAGCAGGCTAGTGAAATGGTACGTAATGCACTAGTTTATGATTGAATCAGAGAAAAAAATGCACAAGCGTGGTTTCTCCAGAGAGAAATCGCAGCTCATAAGCAAACTATACACGTTGCTGAGACATTACATGTCACATCGATGTCACGTGTCTTTCCGGAACATACACTGGTTGTGTGTGAACGCGCTCTCTGATTCCGGCAAATCACTGGCAGTGTGAATGAAGCAAAATCAAACGAACCCGGGTCAAATCCCGGGTCGCTTTATCCGTGTATTTTCCAGAATCTCTGTGTGAAAGGGGCTTGTGCTATGTGCTATCATAAAATGATTAGTTTCATAAGAACCCTTAAGTATAAGAATAATATTAAGAACCCTGCCAAATTCTACAAGATGCAATTTAACAAGTAAAACACTTGAGTTGTTTGAATAATAGTTAATTTCAGGTTTATTTGTATATAAATGGGAAACGTCTCACAAAAAATACAGAAACAGAGTTTACATTGCCATAGAAGACAGGTCAATGTGTATAATAAGTATAAATTAATCAATTCATTTCCCACAAGTTCACATTTCCAGTTCCGGAGGGCAATACTGAACATCAGAAAACAATGCGTGCACTGTGATTATTGATGGCATTGAATGGTACTGTTTTAATGTCCGCCCACAACAAAGCAAACAGGCCTACCTGCCATAAAAGGTCTAGATTAAAAATGATTTAGTCATAGGGTCAGGTATGAACTACTTGGTTAATATATTGTAATTCAAGTGTTTCTTCAAAATCTTTTACTCGTTTCCCCTTCAGGAGGAGTGCCAAGGCCCATATGGGGATACCAGCATTTCCACTGGACAGTTTGGCTAAGGCAATGGTATAGGTGATTAACCTTTGGGTGCTCTCAGATCAAATTGAAAGGAAGGACTTAAAAAAGAAAGCATCCTGTTTGTTTGCCATGTTTTGTCTGTAAGCCACATTTACAATAAAGTATATCAATCAAACAGTTCTGTTGTATGTCATGAGTCTTCTACTCGGCAGTCCTTTACACACGGTTCAGTTCACACATTGGATGGAAATAAGGTGAATTACAAATGTCACCCTTAAAACACAGTCCAGCAGTGTCCAAATATGTGTTGTTTTAAGATGAAGATTCATAGTGTGGAGAGAAAGACCACACACAGGAGAAATGACCGACGTTAGTCTGGTATCTCACCTCAGAATGGTTTGTCATAAGGGTCCAGAAGTCATACACTCTGAGGGTCATCGACACGCGCAAGCCTCTACACCGCTTCAAGGTCTCGGTCTTGGTAGAGGGGAACAATGTGAACTATGTGAACTATTTACAAAAAGAAACGTCCACAACCACCCAACGAGTGGCTCAGTGTCCTTTATCACCTCGACCGTGAGTGTCTCTCATCTCTGCCAGCCACTGTTCAACAGTCTTCCCCCCAGTGGCAGAGCAGAAAGATACGGACCCATATTGGCTGTGACCAGTCTCTAGCCTCTTCGGTTGTCCGCACTTACTACATTTGTAGTCCCCCTGCTTTCTCTTCTTCACAGGACACCCTGACACCCCAGCCGCGGCTTCCGCCTCAGCTTTTTTCCTCCTCCGGAAAGCTGTTGACCGTGGCACGGTCCGTGGTGGGGGTATTGGTGTAAGGTGTGGAGGGTCCGGGGAGGAGCCTGGGAGAAAGCAGGGCTGCTGCTGGGGAGGGGTGGTAAGTAGCTGCGGGGCTGGAAGAGAAGGCACCTGGGCGGGCCTTCCTCGTTGGGTGGCCTGGCGTGAAAGGTCCTTTGGCCCTGTAAAAACAAAGGGCCGTAGTTCTGGAGGTGGCCGGGAGATGATTGAAGGCCTGGGTGCAGAGAGAGGCTCGGCAGCAACGCACGGCACACGGTGGAATACCACACCCTGCTCCAGGATGTTCTTCTCCCTCTCCTTCTGTCGTCGATTGTACCTGACAGACAGAAAGAGGAAATGAGATCTAGTCGCATTTGGTCTAATATCATCACAATGTTGATAATTCACAGCATAATGATTATGTTTCATGGTCATCATTATCTCACCATTGTGAGATGGTCCTTTGACTTTGCTCGTAGAGCTGGATGTTGGTCTGGGCCATCAACCTCGGGCTGTCCAGCACTGCCTCTCTGATTGACACGTAGTCCGCCAAGATGAGCGCCCACCTGCTCGTCTTGGTGCCGCCGGACTGCGTGCCACTTGGGTGGAGACGACAGAGCTGGCTGCATATGGCCTCCACCAGGCGACTTGCGCCCGGCCAATTTGCAGGACCAGAGTTCAGTCCCAGAAAGCAACTGAAAGACAAAGAAATGAACAGAAAATACATGTTAGTGTTGGCAATGTGAACGGAAAACTTTTAACTAATTATTCTAGGCTAATTCAGCCGCATACCGTTCGAGGCTGTCCTTTCCAGCTTTTCCGGCTAAGGACTTCCCCTTTGTTGACTTGAACCGCCCCCGCTCGATCCTGTCCTGGTACCGGGAAGGGTAATTAACTCTCTCCTTGTCAGGCTCCGGTAGTGCATGCCACAGCCCTATCAGAGTGTCTACCCTTCGATCCGACAGCCCCTGAAGGCCGCTCACCTCTAACAAAGCCTTTGCCAGCCTGCAGACGTGCTGGTATCCCGGCTGGCCATCTGGGCCTTGGCATTCCTCCTGAATGATACAAATAAATGTTGATCATGTCAGAAATAGTAAAGTTGGATTCAGCATAAATAAAATGATTCTGGCAAGTTATAATCAAACCTTACATCAGAGCCTGGTGAGAACTTAGAGGGAGGGGAATTCTGATGGCCACGGGTGGGGGTGGCTGGACCGGATGACACAGACCCGGGTGCGTCAGCTCGATCGTCTGAGGACGGAAGAGCAGGATCGGGGAGGTGGATGGTCGGGTCGTCATCCTCCGTCTCCTCCTCAAAGCCCTCATCCTCCAGGGGTCCGACGACAGCATCAGCCTCATCTGGAGTGTCGGGGTCCAAGCTGACAGCCTGCAGCACTTTGTTGGTCTGGGCATAAAGGTACTCCACCCCAATGAGTTCCCCTGTAACGTGATTGAAATGCTCAGGTTGAAAAACTAACGACATGAAAAACAAACTCACTTTCCACACTGACATTACGATGCAGTTGATATACCTGTGTATACGCCAGGCTTTGTAAAGTCCTCAACCTGCCCTGAGCCAAGCACACATTGGCTGAGGTGGTTGAGGAAGTGCTGCAGGTGGCCACTGTAACAAAGCAGAGGTTGCTTCTCTCCCTCCTTTGCTGCTGCGGCGCGGTTCTCATTCCACCTCACCAGCCCATCCAGGAGGAAGGCCTGGAAGTGCATTCCACTGGCACTAGTCCCTATACACAGAGTACCGCAATGTGTGATGAGAGAGCGCTGAAGTGTACACATTTCAATCTGGTTACAAACCTATAATTACAATTCATTACCTGGAATGAACCGGTTGAGATGGAGGTGAAAAGACTCCAGAGAAGTGGAGCCGCGCGCGCAGCGATACACTGGCAGAATCACTCCGCCCTTGGTGATAGTGCCAGTCTGGGTGTACAGCTGTACACTCGGAGGGTCCTGTATACACTCGAGGTGACGCCTCTGCTCTTGCCAGATTGCCCGGATGCGAACGGGATCCAGCAGCGGGATGCCCAGGGTGTCGTGCCCCTTCTCACCGTTGAAGTTCTCCAACATCTCTATCAGGAGGAGCTCCGTCTCCGCAGCTCCACGCGTGCGGCGGCGGCAGTGAAGGGCCATTTCCTTCCTCCTGAGGTGGCTGTAGACCTCCCTGTCAGTGAGACCGACCATCCCGCGCCTCCCCTCCAGCTCGGACCGCTTGGCCTCCAGCAGTCGACGGACATCCACCGCATCCCATTCAAAAATGCTGGAGGACAGCTGCCGAATGAAGGCCCCGTACAGCTGGTGGCTCTCTGACACAACACCTGCTGCGAACCGCCGCATCAGGTGCCAGATGTCAAGGCGAACCACCATCTGGGCCCACTGGGGAAACATGGCAGCAGTCTTGGATCCGCCGACACTCGAGCAACAGTCTCGGTCCACGTACATGAGCACGGGGGGTGGTACGCCTGCGAGTCTGTACCGCTCCACAAGCCCAGCCGCCATACGGAGCAGTCCTTCACCCTCACCGGCGGTAAGAACACAGTTCAGGACCTGCCCGTGCTCATTGCCCACGTCCGTGGCCCAGGCGGCTGTGTCCGAAGCAGCCCCAGCGAGTTTTTTGGTCACCTGAATCCAAGAAACAGAGCACAATTGTGTGAGTGAAATGTTTCATGGTATTGGTAATTTTCGCAGAGGAAGTATTCTTTATTGAAAATGCAATGACAAACTAAAACCTAATGCGGGATGCTTACAATATTGACCAAAAAAATTACACCGTGGCATGTGACACTGAACACGGTGTGAAAGTTGGTTACCTTCTTTGTAGAGTCCATCTTTAAGATCAACCCAAAGACAGACGTGACCCTGGCCTTCAACTCGTCCAGCCGTGACAGTACGTCCATGCTGTAGACGGTGAGCAGCCAGACCGGCGAGGGGACCTTTGGCATTTCCGGGAGCGGCGGAAATTGTGGCCGGATACTGCCAGAGGTCATAAAGTGCCGGCACTCGCTGAGGTACTGAATGGACCGTCGCATCCAGGCTTCGCTGTGGCTCTCACACAGCTTTTTGTAGAGCTGGGTCGCACTATTCCCCAAAGAGTGCTCCCTCAGCATGACTACAATCGCAAGGTCACAGGAAAGCCTGGAGAGATAGGAGATTTTTTTTATTTTGATGTAAATGTACCTTTTAAAACGACAAAGAACAATACACTGAATTGTCACTTCTCAGCTGTGAAAACAAAAAACAATAAATATTTACTTGTAGGTCAGAATCGCTGGAAACTGGCAGCGATGCGCAGGATCCAGCTGACCCAAGACGTCCTGGGACCAGCCCGCCACCTTCTTTTTACAAGTAGGGCACTCCAGGTACTCTGTGGCCATTAAGTACCAGCCCTTCACATCCAACACCCTCTGGATGGTCTTGTAAAGCCCAGCCTTGGTGAGAGTGGTGTTACACCCAGGCTGTGTGCATGTCAACTTGAATGACCACATGCGCAGTGGCATCCAGAGAAACAGCAGACATGCAAAGAAGGGGTCGGGCGACGCGGGTGGCTGACTGTAGATCAGCCGAGGTTGGGGAGGGTACCACCACAGACACAACTCTGTGGTGAGTTGTGATCTCCCAGTGCGACCCCTGGTGAACAGTGAACGCCCGATCCACTGCTGCTGCTCTTTATTGAGGACTGCCCGCCAGCTCTCGGGAAGAAGCAGCAGCATTTTAGATAGAGGACAAGAAAACACTAAAATACTAGTAGCTTACAGTTGTGAATATCCAATTACTTTCTGAACCGTCGCCGTTATAGGTAGACTCACCTCAGGAAGTGCAGGCGGCGGACACGGGAAAGACTGATGTGGCACAGCCTTCTCTTCGGCCCGGACGGCAGCTCCCGGTGGATCCTGGGGTGGGTCCGAAAGCGAAACAGGGACCTGTATGTCCAAGGCTTTCATAACAATACATACAGAGAATTCACACATATATCAGGCCAAGTATTAGAAGAGGAGATTAGATGTAGACGAAGCATTACATTCATTTCAGGAAGTTCATAGTAGTTAAGCAAAGCACAGGTTGATGTCAGAAAAGCAAGCAAGCAACTGAAGGAAAAAAAAAAGAGTGAAAGTACGTGTGTCAAGGTTGACACAAATCAAATGTGTCATGCAAGTTGTTATAAAGAACGTAGGAGGGTGTGAGAAAAGTATAATATCATGCACAATTATCTCCACAATGTGAGAATAACACCTTTATAAAGTCAAGAGGCAAAGACATAATATTTAGGGGGAGACCAACATTCCAGGAAATCAGCAAGTGCTGGACTAAGCATTCTTATCAAGAATACTGGGGTAGGGTGAGGTGGTGGTAGAGCGGGTGAGGCGGCTTAGGCGAGCTAGACACCACGAGAGGAAGTGTGCAGACACATGGCAGGATATGGATTAACAGCAACTAGTAAGCCGTTCTAGATGTACATGAATATGTACAGAGTTTCTCACCCAAACCCTACCTTATCCACTGGACCGTTTGTCTGATGAATATTCCAAAAGAAAGACATTATATTACATACAACATTATGTTTATCCGATTAAAAAAATACTTGAATATCAGTGAACATCAGGTAATGTATCAAGCAACTTACAGTTCTCGGTGGCAATAGCAACTGTGAGCAGCTCTGCATCCGAGGGCTCTACGGGGTGCAGAACTGGTCGCTGAGCTGAGATTCACTAAAAGGTTTTTTGGGAACCGAAAGGGTTCTTCTATGACCCCTATTTTGGAACCTTTATTTTTAAAAGTGAGGTTCTTCGAACACTCCTGCCGGTTATGACTAGTATAGCTGGATTGAGTTATCTGAGATTATTGCATGTTCGATAGTAGAAACATTGATCAGCAACGCTGCTATTGGCTGCTCAACGTTGGCCAAAGAGTGCTCAGTTTTTCACCGCAGCAGAGCAAGAGTTATTGCTTGAAGGATGAATTTGAAAACATAATTAAAACACCAGGGAGAGAGGGCTGGCAAAAAGTAGCAGACAAATTAAGTTTGTAGTGACCATGTTAGATGTTTGTATCACTTATTACAGTATATATTTTTATATTTTAATCATTTATAAATAAGTATTATATTTATAATAATTATTATATAATAAATGTTTGCCTGTTGTCGTGGAAATTCTTTGTCTTTGTCGTTTATATACAAAAGAACATCCGCAAAAACTACCCCTCCCTTTCTTATAATTTTTTTCGTACATAGTTCTCAGTTCCCCATATTCTAACACTTCTTATGTATACACACACACGTATGTAATTTCAAAAACAACCTCTTAAAAAAAAACTAAATATATGTTTTGCTCTTGGTGCAAGCAGGCTTAATCTATTTGTGAGAAGAACAGAACCTACTGTTCTTCTGCACACGTCCCTATTGAGCCGTCTTCTACTGTATAGAAGATAATGCATCTTGCAGTTCCTTTAACACATCTATATTTTTAAGAACACACATCTAATATATATATATATATATGTGTGTTTCAAGAGATATATATCTAAAGTAAAAAATTATCTTACACTGTTTATAAAAGCAACCAAGAAAAAGGCTGAGAAAAAAAAAGAAAAGAAAAACAAACAGGTGCCTGCACCCCCACGTTATACCCAGGCAGAAGAGCTGGGTTGAATGTGAACAGACCCATTGTGGAGGGCATCCCTGGGTTCAGCTCTTCCTCAGACGCAGAGACCAGGAGCAGCAACACCTTCACTGCTGGTACATGAACTTTAAATGATCCTAGTACATCGTAAAATAATTTGTTGCTGCATTAAATTAAGTAGGCCTATAATCCAAATGGCTGTCCAGTCATATCAACTGTTAAATCTTGAGTAGTAATGAATTGCTTTGACTTGTGAAAGTCTACATGTGTTAAACTACATGTAGTTAATGTAAGAAAATGTTGCAATGAGTTATTGATCACATTTCTGCACAAAGCAGTGATGCAGAGGTGGGCAGTGTTGTACTTCTTTTAATTTATTGATGCATAAGACATGTGTTGACAGGTTTACCCCAAGCCTACTCCTACCCCAAGAAAATAGAGTATTTTGAAAATACTTGACCACTCAAAGACAAAAACTGGCACTAGAGATAGAGTTGCTTCAAAGGAACTTCAGAGTAAGTGCTAATATATTATTTCACACAGAGTACTATTGCTGACTTTGCATAATATCTCTCATTACAGGCAAAAGATGACTCACTGGCTTTTCTTTACAAAGAACAATTAAAATAAAACTCAAAGAACTAAGCATATTTGTCTGGTCTTTTATTAAACATTAATGAAATGTTTTATATTTTTTTCTGATGATGCAATGTTTTGTAAAATGGGACATGAAATGTCACATGCCCTGTCAGATGCAGCCATCAGACTTTTCAGACACTTTAGTTGGCTAAAGTTCACTTCATTTCATTGTGTGCCCTTGTCCTGGTTAGAGCGGCATTGTAACTGGTCTGGGGTTTGGGTCAGGGAATGGGGTCATAAAACACATGTCTCCAAGCAGGATCCTGTTGGTCACCTGTATAATGGAAAAAATCAGTTATGTTAGGATAAGCATAATCGAACATTTATGCGCGAGTCATGAGAAAAATTATATCTCTCAAAAAGTACACTATCGCGCTGCGCTCCGCGATCTAATCCTGCTCGCGAGCAGGTTTAAGCTTGCGCAACTGTTGCTATGACAGCAAGTACAGGATGAGCGTCGAAGAACCAAACAATCCAAGTTCATGCCAAAATAGCCAAACAATCAAATCCAGCTACCGTTAAGTGAGTTAGCGACGTACGAAGAACGGACCCCAGATTACTGTCCTAGGCTGTACTGTAGACCATAGCCTGCATGACATTCACACAAATGTATCAACCTGTTACCTACACATAAGTTACACGAATTAAGCTGAAACATGAAATAAAATACTTAGAGATGTTAACCAGCTATAGTTTTCGAATGTGCTCAATGCTGAACATGCCAAATGCTAGCGAGGCTAACGTTAATTGAGCTAACGATTATACGAGATAACGACGAGATTAATATATCAACAAAAACGCTTGATCAGAAATATACATGAAGTTGTAATAATATGTTTACACTTACCTTTCGTTTTTTTTTTTGTGCAAATATAAGTAACGTTAATGTTATTTTGCTCTATAAATGTCTTTTCACAGCGCTGTATCACACATCCCGTAAATGTGTAATGGCTACCGGCAGACTGTTGAAAACAACTTTGGAGCCGGGGCTTAAGTCAAAGGGCGAATTTGATTGGGCCATACCTGAAAAGCAAGGCACCGATTGGCCGTGGTTATTTGAGACAAGGCACCTTCTTTTCCATTGGTGACTTTTTGGTGTCTTTCTCACAATTGAGACAATCGACGACTGGGATTGGCTGACGGACCTGTCGGTCTTTTCTAAACAATTGAGACAATTGAGACAGAGCAGAACGGCCCCTACTGAGCGCAAGGATGACACGCGCTCCCCCGTGAAGCGCTCCATATTTATGCAGCTGTGATCAAGCCTGCTTCACTGGACTTGATTCATACCTTCCTGCCACTATTTATTTTCATTCTTGATCTCTTGTGTCAAGAACTGGTGCATCTCCAATGTCTATAGGGCACTCTCAGTTTTCCAGCAAAGTGTGTCCACTCCCTTTCTTCAGCAGATGCCGACGGGGAAAAGGGTTTGTTGGCTGTGTTTGTTTCTTGTTAAGGCAGCGCCTATGCTGAAAGTAGACCGATTCAGAGAAAAAAATCAAAGAATAAATCAAAGGAAAAAATCTGTGGAGTCCTTCACGGTTTTGTTTCCGTCGCGTGGCCGAGGGCCTCTGCCTAAAGGTCTCCAGAGGATTAACTCCTCCTGCTGCGATAGATCGTGTCCAGTTACATCGGGTGCATGGAACCTACGGCGTAGGTGGTTGTGGCAGAGGATGGACCAGAGGGCACCCTGGTCATCCAGTTGTAAGACTGAAAAAAAGGGGGAAAAAAACATGTTTATGGAATTTAATCTATCTTTTTTACTTTGCTTTTTTATTAATCTATTTACTCTTTAGATTGTATTAATGGTATTTAGTTTGTTTCTATTTTTCTTTTCATTGCGCTATACAAATAAAGTTAATAGTGCTATACAAATAATACTACTTGTACTTTTATTATTAAGAATAGTTACCAGTTGTTGATTAGGTGCTGCTGTGGTGGTGTTAGCAGACCCAGTCTGGACAGAGGCAGGAGTGCTGGCTACGCTGATTGTGGTGGGTGATGAGCCAGGGGACAGGTCCAGCACCTCAATAGTGGGATCCAGGTTAAGGTCCAAACTGACATCTCCGAATCCCTCATCCTCCAACTCCTCCTCCGTGCCCACATCCTCCAACATCTGTTCTGTCACCTCAGAGTCAGGATCCACGTCCTGCATGGCCTGCCCTGTTTGACGATACAGGTAATCTATACCTATGAGTTCATCTGGGACAGACAGGAGAACACAGTAGAGGGAAATCAGTTTTCAGAAAAATAATATAAATATTCTATTTTTATGCAATATAAAAAGCAATTTAAAGCTAAAACTCACCAGTATAGACAGATGGTGGCTGAAAAGATGGTACAAGCTGTCTTCCAAGTACCTTAACACTGTGGGTGTTGACACAGTGCACCAGGTCCCCGGAGTAGCTTAACAGGGACGGAGGTGTGCCTGCCAGAGATGCCATTTTACATCA